TGCTTGGTGAAGTAGAGGGTCAGCGAGAAAGAGGAAGGTCTTCAGGGGGACGAACTGACACAGGGGCTGCAACAATGGGCTGAAACGTGCGTAGCGAGGTTGGGAGGACAGCACAGGACAGAGCAGGGCTTCCTTCCATTGTGCGTGGGGTCACTGTGAGCTGGAACCAACCAGGTGGCACCCAACAGCCACCACAACAGCACTAGATGACTAAGAGCCACCAAACACGCCCCAGGACTTTCAGGTACTCCTCTGCTCACAGTAATCTCATGGGTGCTTTGGTTGTTGTCAGGTGCCATCAGGTTGGTTCCTGCCCACAGTGACCCAGGGTGCGACGGAACGAAACATTGCCCTGCTCTGCGCCGCCCTTGCAGTTGCCCACTTGTCTGTTAGTCTGCCGTCCTGTGCTGGCTGGCATGTTGCTGTGGGGCTGGAGGCTATGCCACTGGTATTTCAAATGCCAGCAGAGTCATCCATGGTGGACAGGTTTCAGCAGAACTTCCACACTAAGACAGAGTTGGAAGGACATGGTGGCCCACTTCTGAAAAACTGGCTGCTGAAGCCTCGTGGATAGCAGTGGAGTGTTGTCTGACCGAGAGCTCTGCATTAAGTGCTCTGTGCGCCCCTCCTGCCTCAGCTTGTCCACTCTCTGGAGACGTGACATCAAGGGTGAGCTGTCTCGATGGCTTCAGGGCTGTGGGCATCATGCTGAGCTGTCTCGATGGCTTCGGGGATGTGGGCGTCATGCTAAGCACTTTGCACTTAGACATTTAATGTTCACTCCAACACTATGCTGTACGTGCTCATATTGTCCCCATTTGGCAGATGAGGAAGCTGAGGCACAAAGAGATCAAGTTACTTGCCAAAGATAATGTAGTATTTGGTACTGACGGCCCAGCCTGCCATATTAGAGCATGTGTCTATGCCCTTGAAGACACACCTGAACCCTACATGTCTCCTTCGCCATGTTTGCAACCCTCCCTCTCCCTCCCTCTCCCTTCATCCATCTCATCCCCATTTACCTGCCTCCACCCTGTCCTTCCCGCCACCCCTCCCTCCCTCCATCCCCTCCCTCTCTCCCCTTCTCTCCACCCTTCCCTCCCTTCAACCCCTCCCTCCCCTCCCTCCCTTTATGGCTCTGCATCCATCTCTCCTCTTTGTCTCCTCCACCTTGGAGGGCTCTGCCTTTGCTCTCCGACAGCTCTGAGCCCCTCTCTGCCGTGGTCCCTTTACACTGTTTGCTGACTGCAGACTCTCAGTCATCTTTTCCCTCTACAGGGCAGCCCTGTGTCTACTCATCTCTACAGACTGAGATGAACGCAGGTCTGCCC